CGGCGTTATTCTTCCGGTCATATCTTCGGACGAGTCCCCAGTGGCGCCTACGCTTGACCAGAGCATGGGGGACGTGGGAGGGGGAGGGGAGAAGGAGGATGAGGGAGAGGAGGAGGACGAGGAAGGGGAGGAGGACGAGGAGGAGGAGGAGGAGGAGGAGGAGGGGGGGGAGTGGGAGGAAGCGCAATACGTAAGCTCAAGAGGTCGCGTACGTATCGCGAAGAAGAGGTTCCCGGAGGTGGGCTAGGGATGGATGGATGTGCTGGCTGCCAACCACAAGAATGGAACTCGTCGACGTTTGTTGTTCTTCTTGCTTTTTCTGGTATGGTGTCGAACGCAACGTTTGCAAGTATTGTGCGCTACCCTTTAATCTTGGTAGTAATAATATGGGGAAATCCCCGTTTTGTTCCCGGAGGGGGGACACAAATTTCGTGTACCCTGGTGGGAAGTGGCCAGTAAAGTGTGCAAAGAATGTAGGGTTTGTTCTACCGGAACAGCTGTCTGAAAAGCGCATAAAATGGGCAAGATATGGGGAAATCCCCGTTTTGTTCCCGGAGGGGGGACACAAATTTCGTGTACCCTGGTGGGAAGTGGCCAGTAAAGTGTGCAAAGAATGTAGGGTTTGTTCTACCGGAACAGCTGTCTGAAAAGCGCATAAAATGGGCAAGATATGGGGAAATCCCCGTTTTGTTCCCGGAGGGGGGACACAAATTTCGTGTACCCTGGTGGGAAGTGGCCAGTAAAGTGTGCAAAGAATGTAGGGTTTGTTCTACCGGAACAGCTGTCTGAAAAGCGCATAAAATGGGCAAGATATGGGGAAATCCCCGTTTTGTCCCCGGGGGGGAACAAAATTTTCGTTTCCCCTGGTGGGAAGTGGCCAGTAAATGTGCAACAACTGTAGGGTTTGTTCTACCGGAACAGCTGTCTGAAAAGCGCATAAAATGGGCAAGATATGGGGAAATCCCCGTTTTGTCCCCGGGGGGGAACAAAATTTTCGTTTCCCCTGGTGGGAAGTGGCCAGTAAATGTGCAACAACTGTAGGGTTTGTTCTACCGGAACAGCTGTCTGAAAAGCGCATAAAATGGGCAAGATATGGGGAAATCCCCGTTTTGTCCCCGGGGGGGAACAAAATTTTCGTTTCCCCTGGTGGGAAGTGGCCAGTAAATGTGCAACAACTGTAGGGTTTGTTCTACCGGAACAGTGATCTGAAAAGCGCATAAAATGGGCAAGATATGGGGAAATCCCCGGTTTGTCCCCGGGGGGGGACATAAATTTCGTGTGCCCTGGTCGGAAGTGGCCAGCAAAGCTTGCAAATATTGTAGGGTTTGTTCTACCGGAACAGCGGTTAAAATAGCGCTTGAAATGGGCAAGATATGGGCAAATCCCCGTTTTGTCCCCGGGGGGGGGGGACAGAAGTTCGTTTCCCCTGATTTGCGTTTCCCTATACATTGAGTAAGACAAATCACTAAGTTTCGCTGAAAACCCACCTTCCCGACCCCGGATTAACAATCTGAGACCGAATATCGCATCTACACACCGACAGCAACCCACAACTGAATTTTCAGAGCTTAGGTGGTTTGGCAACATTATCAATCTCAACCCCTCCACGGCATGTACCGGAAGGCGGCCTTTCTCCGTTGACAGGCCTGGTATTCTAGGCACCAAGTCCGGATGTCACGGTTCATTGACTGCCACCAATATTTTCGTCGTATTCTGCACAGCGTCGGCATGACCCACCTCACGGTTTCACAGGAGAAAAGCCACTGGGAGGGCGGAGAGTACCGGATCCACATGCAGTTCCCAGAAGACTAGACGATCCCTCAAAGGTACGTGTTTGTCCTTGAAACGTTCGGAGCGCGTTGGCCCTCAAAAGGTACAAATAATGTAATCTATGCATGTGCTGCAAACGTTTGGAGCACAACAGAAGTGGTGACGGAAGCTTTGTCGGTAGATAAAGAGTGGTTGCAGGCGCCAACACGACTGGAGCGTGTTGTGATGTCTTGAACAAGTGGCTCGATTGTGTGGTACGCCTACGGTAGGTCTGTTTGGGCTCAAAACTGCGCGCAAGATACTTGTAGTGGAGTGCACCTGACGATGCGCTGTTTGTGAGGTTTTCCAAATGTTCGTCCTTCAAGCGCTCATCGTGTACATGATACATAAGACCGCCCGTAACTCACTCTCTCTCTTAAACCTAAGCAACCAGTGCACATAATTCATCTGATCTAATTTGCCTGATCTAATTTGCCTCCACCAGATTAGTATCTTCGGTGCAGTACCACTCTCGCTCGCGTTCGGCGTATCGGCGCTAATAAGGCGGTTCACGATAGACGTTCGTGATGTGACGAAAGTGCAGAGACTGATTAGCGAGCGCAACACGAAGTCTCATGAATTAGGCAATCGTCGGGTTCATCCTCTCAGATAATGTTAGGCTGAGCCTGGTGTGCAGGTTCTCATGAGCGGCGCGGTTGTGACTCGGTTCATGAACCGCTCGCTTTCGGTCAGCTGCCGTGCTATGTTCTGCTCCGCCGAGCCGACCGTGCTGTTTTTGCCATCATCGTGATCTGGCTGTTGCCCTCGTGCCCCGCTCGCTGCTGCCCCTCCGCCGCCCAGGTGCAAGTTCGTGCCACCCTTGTTGCACCCCAATCTTTATCCGTGAGGCACCGTCGACCTCCGGTGAGATGGCCAAATAAATAAGTAAGTGCCGCCGTCGTGCCTATCACCGCGAACCTAGGGAGTGTCCTGCCCGAGTGAAGCTTGACTCGTACCATGCGTACATACTCAGGTGTTCCTCTAAATAAATGTGAACGTGTCCCGGATAGTATCGTTCGTGGGAAGGGCAGTGAGCGCTTGAGCGTGCGCTCCTCACGAGGCTACAGGTATTTAGTCCGCGTAGCCCTGTCCGCGCTCGCTTCGTTGGCGCCGCCCTCCCGTTCCCGGGTGTAGAAACCTCAGCCCCAGTTTTGTAGCTTTGGTGACTCCTGCTGCTGGTGCAAGTCGAGAATTAATTGTGTACATGCCTTCCTGAATCAAGCGCATCGGCCTGCTGGTGTAACCCGCTGCCACGTTCTATGGCTTCTGTCGTTTGACTATTTGAGAACGAACACCCTGACTGCAGTATTTACTACTGCTTCCGGTCTGACCTGCAGCCTTTTTCACCACGAAAGGTTCCGTCGTCTCTCGGTCTCAGGGCAGCGGCCTATGGTTTCCTGCGTTCGGCCCGATCCTTAGCCTTTTTCACCACGAAAGGTTCCGTCGTCTCTCGGTCTCAGGGCAGCGGCCTATGGTTTCCTGCGTTCGGCCCGATCCTTAGCCTTGCTACATGCCCCCCCGCAATTATTGATGGCAGCATGCTCGACGAAAACGAAGAATGGACACCCAGCACCACCATCAACACGTACTGTTGGCCCATCCGAACATCGACGATCCTGCCCAATCAGAGGCCTACCATCTGTCTGTTCAAGTGAGTGGCGCTTCCATTTCCCGCTACACCACTCATGGTGCTGCTTCAGCCGCCTCTGTAGCTTGGTGACTGTGCGAGGCCGATATGAGTGCTGTGCTATCCACTACTCTTTGATCCACATGCGTGGCTTGGGTAACTTCCGCTCCTGATCTGTGTGGTTGTAATGACTATTTTATTGTGTGCTTTCAGCCGTAAGGGGTGACAACGAAGACGCGTACGGGGTGACACGAATATCCGTTCATGGTCGCTCGTAGAGTATTTTGCCGGCGTTGCAAAAGTGAGTCGATTTCCGTGTGGAGCGAGAGATATTCTCGATATCAAAAGTTGTCCCAACGATCTCGACGGCATCGCGCTCCCACCCCATCGTTTCGTCTCTTTGGCCAGTTGTATGACAATTTCGCCACAGATAGGCCGGCAGATACTACGTGTATTGAACAGATGTTGAACGACGTTGGTACGGAAGAAATAGTTCATGTGTCAGGCGTCATGTCATCAATTCAATTATCCCGGGGCAACGTGTGGACGATGCAAACGAACATGAACCTGACTGTGATCGACCGAAGTGATATATGCTACCGACGGTGCGTCGTGATGTTCCTCTCAACGCTACACAACGCAACGCCTGCAGGAACGATTGAGAAGGTACGACAGGAGGGTGCGCATGGAAGGCAAGAAACATCCCCCCGCAACAGCATAGCATCGCCGTGTGCGAACCCTTTTCCAGCCTAACTATGGTGCTCTTATCTTGAGCATCCTACGGGTTCCACTACTTGGTGGTTGGGAATTACATTTTTGAGATAGCCAAGCTTGCGCCAGAAACAACATCGAGCAATGCAAGACCGCCCGGCACTCTTTCTCTCGATGAAGTGGCTCATGGTCCGCCCGGAAATACTGACAGAAACTCTAAAAATGCAATTTAAAGGTGTACGCGTTCAGAGGTTCTGTACTAGCGACCATTCAATTACTCGTGTTACATTCTGCCCGAACGGGCCTTCATTGTCACCCCTTACGGCTGAAAGCACACCATAGAACCGCCACCAAAACCACACAGTTCTGGAGCGGAAGCCACACAACCCAAGCACGCGCGTGGATCAAAGAGTAGCGGATGGCAAACCACTTAAACCCGCCTCGCAAAATCACCAACGTTACAGAAATTGCTGCAGCACCGATTTCTTGAAGTAGCGGATAGTGTCATTGGACACCACTTAGACGAACACTTGGTAGGCCTCTGTTTGGGCAAGATTGTTGGGGTCTGGATGGTCCAAAAAAACGTAAATCCCTTGCAGCATTGGCTTGATGGTAGTGCTCGGTGTCCATGCTTCGTCCTCGTAGAACATACTGCCATCAACAAGCGCAGGGGGGCAAGTGACAAGGAAAAAGCTCAGGGCGAAAGCGAGGGATCTACAGGACGTTTCCCTCCACGAGACGTTAGAGCCTTTACGTCGTCGAAAACGCGGCAGGTTAGACTGGAAGCTGCAGCAGCAACACTACAGTCAGGGTGTGGGCTCTCTTTCACACTAGAAATAAACAACACTCAAAAGCCGTCAGCGGTTTAGAAGCCAACAGTATGCGCCTGGTGCAGGAAAGGTGCGTACACAACTTTCGACTGCACAGCAGCAAGACCCACCAACGCTAGCAGCACCTGGCTTGAGTTCTTGACACCCTGAAAGGGAGGACGGCGCCAACGAAGCAAAAGTACAGACGGGGTATCGCGGACAACCTGTAGCCCCGTGGGAAGCGCGCACACAAGTGCGCACTACTGTGGTTCTCACGAAGAATACGAGGTGTAGCGCTTCATGTCTAGAGAAACAACTGACTACGTATGTGCAAGTACACACGGTACGAGGTAGGCTTCACTCGGGCAGGTCATTCCGTATAATTGTGGTGATGGCCACCATGGCGATATCTACTCGCCACCGGGGATGTGTGTTGTTGTGTGTTTTCGTCCTATTTACTATGGCGACAGTCCCCCCATTTTTCGTGGTTATTACTTTCCGGAAGCTGATGGTGCACAACGGAAAGACGTTGGGATGGAATAGGGGTGGCACGAACATGCACCTGGGCGGCTGAGGGGCAGCGGCGAGAGGGAAACGGGGGCAACAGCCAAGTCAGCACGGTAAATAACCCGCACGGTCAGCCGAGCAGATTACAGGAGGACGGCTGGCAAAAAGAACGCTTTATACACGGGGTCACAATACAACCGGCCCGCTGAGAAACCACTACTGCCGTAGCCAAGCATAGATTGACATTTCGTCGTGAGGAAACAGTCCGGCTTTGCTTAACATTCGATATTTCGCGTAGAACTCGATTGAAGTCTCTGCACTTTCGTCACACCACCAAAGTCTCAGCCTGACACGCGACCTGCGATGTCATGGGACGGTCCATACAGCAAGAGCGTCAGCCGCTGTTCTAGCCCTTTCGGTTGTCCTCAACTTTTGTGAAACGGTGAACTCGAGCCTTGGCGCTCAAGGCAAGCACGAGGTGCGTAGCAGGCATGTCGGTAGATGGGTCCCCGAGTAAGCAAGGAAGTGCGGTTAGTCTCTTGCTGCGGGACGATTGCGCTATCATGTGCACTGGAGCGGTGGGCGAGACGTCTCTTCTATTTTGCTGTCTGGGTAGATGGTTGAAAAACAATTACACGTCGCTCTTAGCCTAATCATATCCCCCGACGCCAACTGTGTAGCACCTTAGCGCCCACAGGCCCAACGCGAGCAGCAGTGGTACGGTACCAGAGATTGGTCACTCTCACCCTCTACAAAGGACGCGGGCGGCTACCTTCAACGGAAGACGGGGGGGCGAAGTCCCCCGAGTCCCAGACCTTGTCAAAAGTACATTAGAAAGTTCAATACAAATGGTCTACATTTTGAGGGCCAACACACTTCAAATGTTTCAAGTGACGTACCTTTGAGGGATGGTCTTCTGGGAAATGCATGTGAATCCGGCAATCTCCGCCCGCTCAGTCGGTATTCTCCTGCAAAACCGTGAGGCGGGTTATGCCGATGCCGTGCAGTGTACATCAGCGTAGCAGCAACAGACGGGTGAGATATCGGGCAGAAATTTAAGTAACCCTCGCGATGTCACACTCACCAGAAGAAGCGCGCCACGTTTCGGTCGATTTCGGAGACAAAACTCGCCGATTCACTCGGAGAGAGAGGAACATCCGACGGCGTTTTACTGCCTCGTGCCCGACAAGACACTGAAGGACACGGCTATTGCTGCTACCAACGCCGCAGTAACGCTGCACGGCTGCTGTGGCCGCGCCGCTTGTGCTCTGTGGGACACGACCAAGGAGCCACGAGCACAGACGTCGCCGACGTCAAGCGATATCCGGAGAGGGGCTGTGTGACGATAGATCGAAGCAACGCCGCGTTCCGTTATAAAAAGGTTTCCGCACGGCTGTCACAAGACGAATGTGAAACTTTTTGGCGCGCGCTGAGGAAAGAACGTAGCCACTCAGCTCTTGGAAACAAGCCATGGTATCGTAGGTACAAATAGGGAATGGTGTGCATGCTAGCCGTTCTCCTCACCGGTCCAGGAATACCACACGACCCATCGGGATTCGTCGCAAGCCTCGCCCACCAGCCCTGTCGTAACGGTGTGCGCAAACATTCAGAATCAGGACATCTGTGGAGCTCAGGATATGGAGATTCAGGGAGCATAGATACACGTACATGAAGAGTAGGATCTGAGAGAATATGTGATAATAGATTACCGTTCTCCGAGGGTCCACAACTCTTGTGATTCCCAACGGCTGCGAAGAGTTGATGGATCTTCAGGAGGATGAGAGAATGGGTCCACGAAGGCTCGCCTACTCTCCGCACCACCCTAGCCTGACTGAGTTCGCTCGGTCACGCTTGGCATTCCTCGCCACATTGTACCAAAGGAATATCGCCAACCTCCGGTGGCAGGACATAGCCACCACAACCCCACACTCTCCGCTCACCCAGAGTAGAGGGCTCCATATTGGCGTTGACGAAGAGACAGTTTTTTGGAACCGTGTACCCCTCATTTTTGGCGGCCTCTTCGTTTTTGCACTCCGCGCGGGTGTGCGTGAAGCGTACGTTACTGAATCGGCAACAAACGAACCTTCCGAGGTTTGGCGGTGTCGGACTTGGCAGAACCAGCAAACGATACTTTCGCCTTCGCCCGCCCGGGAGGACAGTAACGTGCGCTTTACGCACACCCGCGCGGAGTGCAAAAACGAAGAGGCCGCCAAAAATGAGGGGTACACGATACAAAAAACTAGGGTCGCCCGAGTAGGCAGCAACCCTCGGCCAACGTGGGACACCAATCATTTGGTTCTGTCAAACCAGTACGTACAAACTGGGAGAGACTGCAAAGTACGAGCAAGCAGAAGAGAGCCAGAATGGATGGGAGGGATTCAAAACATTGTAAGAATGGTGTACAATCNGAAGCGTACGTTACTGAATCGGCAACAAACGAACCTTCCGAGGTTTGGCGGTGTCGGACTTGGCAGAACCAGCAAACGATACTTTCGCCTTCGCCCGCCCGGGAGGACAGTAACGTGCGCTTTACGCACACCCGCGCGGAGTGCAAAAACGAAGAGGCCGCCAAAAATGAGGGGTACACGATACAAAAAACTAGGGTCGCCCGAGTAGGCAGCAACCCTCGGCCAACGTGGGACACCAATCATTTGGTTCTGTCAAACCAGTACGTACAAACTGGGAGAGACTGCAAAGTACGAGCAAGCAGAAGAGAGCCAGAATGGATGGGAGGGATTCAAAACATTGTAAGAATGGTGTACAATCTCTGGTGGGAACAACAAAAAAAGCAGTCAAAGAGCAGCGCTGTAGAAAGACAGTTGAAGTGCATATGCCACGAGAACATTTTCGCGAAGATTGTAGCAGCAAGCCAACGCGAGGAGTCCCGAAGTCAAGTANGAGACTGCAAAGTACGAGCAAGCAGAAGAGAGCCAGAATGGATGGGAGGGATTCAAAACATTGTAAGAATGGTGTACAATCTCTGGTGGGAACAACAAAAAAAGCAGTCAAAGAGCAGCGCTGTAGAAAGACAGTTGAAGTGCATATGCCACGAGAACATTTTCGCGAAGATTGTAGCAGCAAGCCAACGCGAGGAGTCCCGAAGTCAAGTACCCGCGCAACTGATGCAGTAGCCGCTGTAGATCCAGCACTAGGGGATAGCACCCAAGTGAGGCAAGTAGCCGCCTGTTTAGCGGCGCAAGCCTTGCACGTAGCTACCGTAGCTGGGGACTTCAGGTCGAAATATAGGTCTAACCTAATGAGAACTGACCGTAATGAAGAATTTCATGCTTTTTACATGTCTGCACTCGCTGGATATCCCGTGTGTCCATCGGTATTGCGATCGACATCCAAGCGAGTACGTGTACCCGCCAGAATAAACAATGAATCGGTTGATGAAATAACAATCGGCACGGCGTGTGACATACCATGCATTTCACGGAANCATAACAATCGACACGGCGTGTGACGTGCCATGGATTTCACGGAAGTTAATGACAAGTCACAAACCGTTGAAAAACACGGAAATATTTCCAGTACCCTCGGGAGCAATCAACCTGCGCAGCGCCGATGGTTCGCCCCTAAAAATTGCAGGGTACACTCGATTTGAACTGACACTAGGAGAAATCACATTACCTGTTGAAGCTCTAGTGCTGCCGTCGTTGGGAACTGATAACATGCTACTCGACAATAGCATAATGGGCGCAATTGGTGGTATTCTTGATTGGCAAGCGGAAGAATTGTCGTATAAAACAACAACAACCAAAAATCCAGCAGTCCACCACAAAACGCGCTATACCACCACCGATCAGGAAAACAATGAGCAGCGTTCAAGCGAGCCCTGAAGAAACGGAAAAAATCCGTACAGATCTCAAGAAGGCATAAGCCAAAGCTTTCAGATATACAACTTTGTCGCCCGACCAGTGCGAATAAATACTTAAAACTGTGTACCAAATACCGTTCAGTATTCTCCCTGAGTCCTATAGAACTGGGCAAATGTACTCTCACAGAGGCTGATTTTCCATTGCAACCAGGAACAAAACCAGTCAACAGAGCTCCATATCGTGCAAATCCACGAATGCAAGAGGTTAGTGACAAATGTGTTGGTGAAATGTAACAAGCTGGGATAATCGAACAAAGAGCGAGCCCATGGGGGTCAGCAGTAACGTTGGTAGCAAAAGCTGACGGCAGTCCCCGATTCTGTGTAGATTACAGAGCGACGATCAACAAGATTTCTATTCGTAAATCGTGGCCAATGCCTGAAATGGCAAATCATATTGACACAGTAGCAGGTGCTAAATACATCACAGTCTGTTATGTTCAAAGTGCATACCACCAAATACCAATTGCCGAAGAAGAACAAGACCAGACTGCATTCGTTACTCGGGACGGAAAAATGGGTATTAAAACGTCCCCTTTGGCATCGCCAATGCGCCTTTTCTGTTTCAACGTACGATGGCATTGACTTTCGCACATTTTGGTCCAAAATCTGATCTTCTCGTGTACATGGATGATCGTATTTGTTGTTCATCTACGTGGGAGGGTCACATCTCTCTTTTGGAAAATACCTTTAAAGCGCTACAAGCCGCAGGTCATAGTCTACATCAAACCCATCAAAGGGACAATTTGGGCCAAAGGAAGTGACGTACTTGGGGCATACTCTTTCCGCAGATGGCATACGTTCAAGCGAAGATCGGAAAAAATCGATACTGTTGCCAACGCCAACAAACATCAAAAGTTTGCGATCAGTCCTAGGAACGGTCAACTATGTCAGGAAATTCATCCCAGACTTAGCCGCCGTCATCGCACCAATGGTTGACCTTACGAAGAAAGACGCAGTGAAGTCGGTAGCGAAACGCTGGGGTCCGAAACATGATGAAGCATTTGCCGAAGTGAAACGATTACTCACCAACGCTCCTGTTTTGCATTTTCCGGACTTCTCTAAAGAGTTTGTTATCCACGTAGACGCATCTGAAGTGGGAGCAGGAGCATTCCTGGCACAACAGAATGGCGATGCGTGAAAACCGTAGCATACTTCAGCCAGCGATTCAACAAATGCCAACAACACTACTCTGCCACCATGAAATAATGCTATGCTGTTGTTCTAGCAATTCAACACTGGCGTCCTTATTTATGGGGTAGACATTTCACGTGCGTAACTGATCATGCGGCATTGCGATATCTTTATACGATGCAAGACACCTCAAATATGCTCACTAGATGAGCAATAGCACTGCAATCCTTCGATTTCACGGTAAAACATAAACCGGGAAAGTTGCATGTACTGCCGGATACGTTATCGCACCTTTTCGTGTTTGATAATGAACAAGAAAGAACGGCGCCGAACCTTGCACCAATTTGCCGAAATGTACCGGACGATCCAAAGCTGCAACAACACATGCCAAACAGACCATACCAAATCTCGACTGACAAATTGGATGATGTTCAACCAGTCCTAAGTGATGGGAATTATTCACAGTCAATTCAAATTTCGTCAGCGCCACGAAAGTATTTGAATCTGTTGATCATGAGAAATTGCGCGAGAAACAACCCGAAGAATACGGCGAATACGTCCAATACATTTTAGACGCCAAAGCACGCCACCAGACAACGAAACGGCAACATCAATGTCGTACTATTGCATACAAGACGGTTTACTGTTTAAATCGTATCTGCCAGGACACCTTCGAAAACGAGGCACTTTTAGTGATCAACTTGTAGTCCCACATGACCTCACCGGTTTAGTGATGCACGCACACCATGATCACGCTCGTTCAGGTGGACACCTCGCATTTCGTCCAACGTACGAAAAAATACAGCAGGATAGCACGCGAAACAAACGAGAGGGGTATGGGGCAGAAGCTTAAACACCGCGGACGACATCAGCACCAGTGCACGACCTTCGGGTCCAAATTGAAGGCAACGTCGGCTAGTCCTTGGCTTGTCCTCGGCAACCTCGTTTTGTCCTCGGCATCCTCAGCTCATCCTCAACAACCTTGGCTTATCTTGAACAACATCGATTTATCCCCAGAATATCTTTGGCACAGCAACCTCGGCTTATCCTCAGCAACCTCGGCTTATCCTCAGCAATCTCGGCTTATCCTTAGCAGCCTCTGATTATCCTCAGCAATCTTGGCTTATCCTCGGGTTATCCTCGGCAACCTCGGCTTATCCTGAGCAACCTCGGCTTATCCTCGGGATGTCTTCAGCAACTTTGGCTTATCCTCGGCAAGCTCGGGTTATCCTTGTCAACCTCGGCTTATCCTCGGTCTATCCTCAGCAACCTCGGCTTATCCTTAGCAATTTTGGCTTATCCTCGCGTTATGCTCGGCAACCTCGGCTTATACTGAGCAATCTCGGCTTATCCTCGGGTTGTCTTCGGCAACCTTGGCATATCCTTAGCAACCTCCGCTTATCCTCGGCGTATCCTCAGCAATCTCGGCTCATCCTCGCCTTATCCTCGGCAACCTCGGCACATCCTCGGCAACCTCGTCATATCCTTGGCAACCCCGGCTTATCCTCAGCAATATCGGCTTATCCTCAGCAACCTCGGCTGATCCGCAGCAACCTTGGCATATCTTCAGCAACCTCGGTGTATCCTTGGCAACCTCCGCTTATCATCAGCAACCTCGGCATATCCTCAGCGACCTCGGCTCATCCTCAGCAATCTCGGCATATCCTCGGCAACCTCGGTTGATCCTCGGGTTATCATCAGCAACCTCGGCATATCCTCAGTAACCTCGGCTTATCCTTGGCAAACTCGTCACATCCTCGGCAACTTCGGCATATCCTCGGCAACCCCGGTTGATCCTTGGCTTATCCTTGGCTTATCCTCCGCTTGTCCTCAGCAACTTCGGCTTATCCTTGGCAACCTCCGCTTACCTTCAGCAACCTCGGCTTATCCTCAGCACTCGGGCTATCCTCAGCACCCTCGGCATATCCTCAGCATTCTCGGCTTATCCTCAGCAACCTCGGTATATGCTCGTCTTATCCTCGACAAATCCTCGGCAACCTCGGTTGATCCCCGGCATATCCTCCACTTATCCTCCGCTTGTACTCAGCAACCTCGGCTTACTCTTGGCAACCTCGGTTTATATTCAGCAATCTCGGCTTACCCTCAGCAACACAGGCCTATCCTCAGCACCCTCGGCTTATCCTCGGCATCCTCAGCTCATCCTCAGCACTCGGCCTATCCTCAGCATCCTCGGCTTTATCTTCAGCATTCTCGGCTAGTCACCAGCAACACCGACCTATCCTCAGCACCCTCGGCTTATCCACGGCATCCTCAGCTCATCCTCAGCACTCAGCCTATCCTCAGCATCCTCGGCTTTATCTTCAGCATTCTCGGCTTATCGTCAGCAACCCCGGCATATCCTCAGCAACCTCGGCTTCCTCAGCAACCTCCGTTCATGTTCAGCAACCTCGGAATATCCTCGGCAACCTCGTGATATCTTCAGCAACCTTGGCTTATCTTCAGCAACCTCGGCTTATCATCAGCAACCTCGGCGTATCCTCAGCAACCCGGCTTATCGTCAGCAACCTCGGCTTATCCTCGGCAATCTTGGCTTCTCCTCGGCATATCCTCGGCATATCCTCAGCAACCTCGGCTTGTCCTCAGGAATCTCGGCATATCCTCAGCAACCTCGGCTTATCCTCAACAACCTCGGCAATCCTCAGCAACCTCGGCATTTTCTCGGCAATCTCGGGTCATCCTCGGCTTATCCTCGGCTGATCGTCAGCAACCCCGGCTTTTCCTCGGCTTATCCTCGGCACCCTCGACTTATCCTCGGCATATACTCGGCACCCTCAGTTAGTTCTGGGCATCCTCGGTTTGTATCCGTTTGAACTAGGTGTTAACTCGGTTTAAACTCGGCATCACCTACGTTGAACCTGGGCTTACTTTCACCTTAACCTCGACATAACCTCGACCTAAGGGGTGGCAGACAACCTTCTTCTGACGCTGGCTCTATTGCCATACTTAATTCAGTGCAGAGGGGGTCTTGGTATAGTGCAGGTTGAATAGTGTAGGTGCCCGGTATAGTGCAGGTATAATCTCTTGACACATACAGCGCCCTCACTAGTGCAGATCCTGCACTATTGAGGGCGGGCCCGCTATAGTGCAGGTTGGGCACCGCGGCGCAACAGTGCAGGTTGGACGCACACACTTCAAAACGAACTCGAGTGCAAGGTAGCAGCCTTGGTATGCATAGATGCGTGCAGTTTTCTTCTGTTGCTACCGTTTCTGTCTTTGACCCGGAGGATAGCTTAGCCTCCCCCATGCCGCCCCCTCACGGGGGTCCCAGTTACTGGTGTTTTGAAGTGTTTTGTGCTTTCAACCACACTGAGACTGACTGACATATTTTCATTGGTCAGCCGGTTGGCGCGGTCGATGCTAATAATAAAAAACACACCCGAACAACGGACAGACACAACACAGACACGAGGGTACACGTGCTGCTGCAGACCCGAAGAGATCTACGCAGAGGTGCACCATGCCTTGTGCGGACGGTGAACTGTGCCATCAACGAGACAGGCATTCTACCTAACGAAAGCGAAGATAGTGACGATAGCAGCGCATTCCGCTAAGCGGGTGCGCCAGGCAGACATGAGGGAATTTTTCGGGACGTAGTGAGGCCAGGGGTACAGCTGTAGCAGTAGTGTTGTTTGTTTTCTTGCAGTGCGCTTGCTGTCTGTCGTGTTTCATATTTTTTTGTTGTTTTGTCTTCTTCATCTTGCAACATGGAAGGGGGGCAACGAGGACTGAGATTTACCTTCCGTAGCAACGTATTAATGTTGAAGGGTTGGTTCTCGCGACACTTCAGGGTGTGCAGTACAGTAAGAGTGCTGAGGAAGGAAGAAAACAACGGTGGAACATGCAAGAAATTTTTCTACATCTCTGTGTGTACGACAGGGGGGAATTGATAAGGAGGACCCCATTCGCAGGGTATCCGTCGATTGACGTTTACCATAATCGGTACACCTTAGAATACATATGGCGTCAGCAGGATATTGGTTCGGATTTCCTTGGGTGCACATATTTCTCCTGACATGGACATTTTCCCATGGACACAGAACACCTCTTGGAGTCGATCCTACAAAGGACCTTGTGAGGCTTCCATCGAATTACCCGTCCTGGCCACAAGAGCTTCCCAGTTGAAGGTAAACTCTGTGGGTGGAGAGTGTTAAGGAGGACCCGATTCGCAGGGTGTTGACTTTTACCAGAATCGGTACACCTCCTTCGCAGAACCAAACGCGTCGCGAGACAGTCTGCTGACGCCCACGCTAGAACAAGGCCCAGTACTACTGTAATTCGATCCACTTCGTACCCAGCTAGCCCGTAAAGCGTGAGCGCCACACCATGAAGTTAAACATCTCCTCAATGGTGCAGGACCTACACTATTGAGGGATGTCCGGAACCTCAATTGTGTCGAGCCTGCGCTATTGAGGCACTTCTCGGAGTAGTGCAGTTGCCCGCTATAGTGCAGGTAAAACCTCTGGACACACCCCTACACCATACCGCCCCCCCCCCCATTTGGACAAGAATCAATATTCCCGCCGTGTAGATGTTCTATTACGTATTCTAATGTTATCAGTAGAGGACACCATGAAGAGGCATGGTGTGTGCTGGCACGTTCAGGTCTGCTACTGGAAGTGACATACCGAAGGTCGGAGTAGTCTCTGAAACAGTCTGTAATCTGCGACGGAACCCAGCATTTGTCACAGCCGTGCTCACCATCACGGACCGTAGACCTCTACACCACGGTTCGTCAGCAGTAGCTTTTTAGTGGCATCAGCTACTGCGGTAGCCCCGCAGTCAGGAGATTGGGGTCAGTGGCGGCGATATCAAACAGTACAACACATGGGTGTCCGTCGAATTTGCGGAGACCGTAGGCCGCTACTACAGTACGACCCTCGATATCACCACCCAAGAGACGGATTTGAGCGCGCCAACACACACACCCCACCGCCATAGGTTGTCCTCCTGTGACATAGTCTAACAGAACACATAAGGTCAAAATTGACCTCGTTTGATCGCCTGCCTTTCTGGCTCTTTTGGCTTGAAATTAGAATGGTGTATTTTCATCTCGATTTCAAAGGAGCGTGTGGAGGTGGACCCATGATTGTATGTTTTTAGCAGGCTCCCTGCCGCTCTGTGCGAAAATCGACGATTTACGTTTTTCCCGATGCCTTCCTGGCGCCTTTTCCTTTCGCCGTGATTTCCGTCATGGTTCCAACTGATGTCATTGCGCTACATGAGAGAAAATGGACGAATCGGCAATCTCAAGCCATCTTGCGTTAAGAGGTGTTTTGCCCCGGAGCGAGAGGCCCGAAACTTGCCAAACCATGGGAAAGCGGTCAGGTGGATGCTCAAAGCCGACTTTTTGTTCAAGAAAGAGAACGAACCTACCTCTGAATCCCCCTAGTCATAATATGTGCAAGCACCGCAAACGAAAGTTGAAGGGAGAGTTGAACTCCATGGTGGCTTTTTCCTGTGTGACATCGGTTGATGCTGCGAACCATTTGCTTGGAATCATGAATCACTCAGCCAAGCTGGCTCTCCAGAGGCGGCAGGACCTACTACTGTAGGTGCTCCTCATCGACAACGGCGTTGTTTGCCTTGTGCCCCAATAGACGCAAAAGGGAACTTTGGCTGCCGGCGCCGAAGGTAGTAAAGCTGCACGGCTGCCAAAGAGAACGAACCTGCTCTTCATTCTTGAGCAGTGCGAGAGTTTGGACATCACAAGGATTCCTGTTGCAGGTGTGTTGATTCCTAATGGGTCGTCATGCAAGCTGCCTGGTTGTACAGATGGCGCCCGCACTTAAAAACACACCTGTTAAGAACATGGAGCTCAAAACATCCAAAACTTAAGAACTCGGCCATAAGAACAGGTGCTCAGTTCTGACGTGGTATAAGAACAAGAACCCGTATCGAGGTGTCCAAATTCGAGGTCAAGATAAGAACGGGGTCCATTGCAGACCTTCGCTGGAAGACAATAACTTCGGTGGGTTGCGTCACCCCCTCCCCCCCCCCTCCCAGTATTTTTTTTCACATCATAGGGTGAGTACCGAAAAAATAGCGAACCAGGAGGGTGTATGCGTGGGATATCGCTGTGCCCCCTTCGCTTCTGCGGCCCTCGGGTTTCCTCGGGTGCGTGCCACGCAACAAGCCCTCTGTCTGCACGAAGGGCGATCATGTCGCTGCTCTTGGTGACCTTGAGGGAGCTCCAGAAGCTCGCAGCACTCAAAGAAAAGGGCGTGATCCTTGAACGACAGGACGAGGTAATCAAGAAACATGTGAGGGAGGGCAACTCCCTCTCGAGCGAAGACTGGGAGGCCTTCGATTTGGCGTGGGACCTGAGGAGCAGCGGCGTGTTCTCGGAAGAAGAGTGGACCACGCAGGTTGATGGAGACATCTCGGGCATCATCAACAGCGCTCGCCCTACACTGTCTTCAGACCACGCTGCCGCGTCGTCTGCATCCGGAAAGCGGTCAGCAGCAGCAGCAGCAGCTCCGGCGGCGCGCGGGGTCCCGAATCGAGGGAAGAGACAACGAATGGACGCCAGCAAAGGCTCGCTGAATATCTACAACTCGTTCGCTATTGGCAGCGGGGAAACGGTGAGCCCCTGCAAACTCTGCAAACTCTGCGATGACCGTCGACGGTTCAGGTGATGACCGAATCACCTTGGAGGGTCTGGACAAGCCGTACACCTTCGCGGGCGATAGGGACTCCAGCGACGACGAGGGATCTTCCGAGACTAGCAACGATGGGTGCGGGGGTGGGGATGACCAGGCGGTTGAGGGCGAGGGGGACCGGCGAGGGAGTGGAGGACGGCGATTCTAGCGACGAAGACACTCGTGGTAAGTTGGATGCCCACCAGGATTTTTCACTCCCCTGCTTGGTTGTTGTTGCGTTTCCTCTTGCTGTTGCTTTTGCCCTTGCCGTTGCCGTTGCCGTTAAACATATGTTTGCGTAAATGACATATCAGTTTCTGCAACATTGTCGTTTGTGCTCGTCGTCGCAGAGACGGCCAGTGGCCAGATGGACGAGCTGAGTCTTGTGGACGACGANGCGGTTGAGGGCGAGGGGGACCGGCGAGGGAGTGGAGGACGGCGATTCTAGCGACGAAGACACTCGTGGTAAGTTGGATGCCCACCAGGATTTTTCACTCCCCTGCTTGGTTGTTGTTGCGTTTCCTCTTGCTGTTGCTTTTGCCCTTGCCGTTGCCGTTGCCGTTAAACATATGTTTGCGTAAATGACATATCAGTTTCTGCAACATTGTCGTTTGTGCTCGTCGTCGCAGAGACGGCCAGTGGCCAGATGGACGAGCTGAGTCTTGTGGACGACGACGACAGCATGGAATCGGACGACGAGATTCACGCCATGGAGATTCCGGATGGGTTTCGCATTCAAGCATCTACACCGGCAGCTCTTGACAGTTCGTTACTGCAACGTGGAGTACTCGATAGGCTGGGCATGGGGTGGTTTGGGGGGGTTATCACTCGACAGTTTCAGGGGCGCACTCGCCACCTTTACGATTACCGTGTGCATCTCGACCTAGACCAAAGTACTTGCAGCATGCAGCTGCCGTTGGAAATGTACAGAGGAGATCCGGATGCGGTGGTGGGCTTCGTGGATCTTGCTTGAGAGGAGCACGGTCGAGCAGGTGGATGGGGGCGGAGCTGCAGCCACGTTGGGCGTTAGTAGAGCGGGAAGGGAACGCAGGCCGAACGTGACCCTTACCGACCAAGAAGGTTGAAGCCTTCGGAGTTTGTTCTCATGTCGCGAGCATAGCTGCTGCGGTGCGTGATCCGGTCTAAGTCTGTTGTACAAGCATGCGGCCAAGTCGACGGCCAGCAATTTTGGTGCCTGGTGAATGGAGAGTATGGGCATGGTACGGCGAAGTATGGACGTGCCGTATGGGGATGATGCAACTTATTTTTCGGCATGAAGTTACACGCCAATTTCCACGTCCTATCGATATATGTACATAGCTGCGAGTCACCAAAAGGCGTCTTGGTGCGCCTCTGGAGCACTCGACGGTGAAAGACGAACAAGAACCCCGTTTTCAGCGACCAAATGTCTGATCGGAATAAGAACATGGCCATAAGAACATGTGCTGGGGTTGAGGCAGCCAATAAGCGTCGAGCCTCACGCCAAATTTGACGTTTTTAAGTGCGGGCGCCATCTGCATTCCAAATTCGTCGGAAGCAAAAAAAGCTGACGTAAATATCTTGAGAGCGTTGCTGCAGCTCGAACAGCTCTGCAGTTCGAAGGATGCATCGACAGCGTTGCAGCTCTGGCGAACCGTCGCCGTAGACCCCACGAGCCTCAAACCGTCGTGCTTTTGGATCGCAACCACAGCGATACGTGTACCGTAGTTTCGTCTTCATATCAGAATGGATGTTGTTCTCCTCACCGGTCCAGGAATGCCGCACTTCCGCTTCATCATCGACTGCGATCCATCGGGATTCGTCTCAAGCCTTGCCCACTAGCCCTGTCGCATCGGCGTTCACAGCATATAGCGAAGCGTAAACAACGGTTTCAACCTCTCTGGTTAATTAAGAGTCTACAACCGGCAGTTTTGAGGGGGGTATTTTGCCAAAGTCGGGCATGCGAATTTTGAGATAACCTGTACTTCTCGAACCACAACTCCCAACAAGTGGACAGCAAGAGCGCCTCAAGCGAAGCGGGCTTCGATCGTAGACGCTAGTTAAGCCAATCAGAGTCTACGATTACACAGCACGACCCCGGTGAAATCACAACGGCATACATTTTTCGGAAGGTTGTCCTTCAAGTATGCGCTCTTTTTATTTCATTTTCTCTTTCCTTTCTCTTTCCTTTTATTTTCTTCTCTTTTTCTCTTTTTCTCTTTTTCTCTTTTTCTCTCTCTTTTTCTTCTGTGCCAGATGGCCTTGGCTCTGCTTGCGTTGTGAAGTACCAAGATTGAACCAAGGGGGTGTACCTCATTCTCTCCGACCCGTGATGGTGAATCCTAGTCTCAGTTGTTACCTCGCGCAGCGCGCAGAGGGAGTGGAGGACTCCACAATATCTTTCGTTGATTTCTGTTGACGTGCGGACCCCTCGGGGCCATTTTATTCGAGTGTACCTTTGTAGGGTAAGTTAGCCTGCGACCACGGGAATCGACCGCGTCGAGTGTTGTATCAGTACGGACATACGAAGGTACTGGGTAGATAGAGATCGGAAGTGTGAAGACAACAACAACAACAACAACAACAACAACAACAACAACAACAACAACCATGCAGAATAGGTCTGCACTCAGTGGGGGCTTTCAACTACAGTATTGGATTCAATCGAGAGATCGAGAGCGGTCAACCCAACACTTGCCTAAGCAACGAAATTGTAAAGGTCGCGGTAACGTGTAGACTATCTCGCCAACAATGTACACATGGTGGGTTATGAGCCGTGGGGAGCTGGCGAGTGAGGATCTTGCCGGGGAATGGTATCGACACATGTTGTGTACGAGAATGTACAGCAGTTTACAGCTGCTGCTGTACATCACGCTATTCCAGCTCTCCAACGCAAAGCAAAGGAAACAAAGACACGTTTCCAGTCCAAACTTCACTCACGAACGGTCGGTCTGTTTGGATCCCTCCTCCAGTTTGTTCTCTCCTGCATAAGCCGGGCGCGGGTTGTGCTGCAGTTGTTCCGCTCATCGGTTTGCGTTGCCACCGCTGCAGGTTCCAGTCTCTGATGAATATAATTTGGAACTTTCAAGCTGGTTGGTTGTACGGAGCTGGGGTAGCCACGGGAACCGCTGGTTTTTCCACCCCACTAGACGGCCCCAGGTACGCCGAAAGTTCTGGGCTGTGATTGATTAGGATTTTTTTATATATAGACTAGACTATATTGATGGGGCGGCTCCCGGCTCCTTGTCCCTGGGCCGCAGGGGGGCTGCAGACAAGAGACATATTGCGGAGCCCCCAGCTGTCAGTGACGAGGAAAAACAAGGGCAGGCGAGAACACCAGACAGTTACTTAAGCCGGTATCGAAAAAATGTCAAAAGGAGAAGGTAGAGGGAGGAGGGTGCCGCCACCTACGTCGTTCAAATGTCAATAGCTTTCGCCAAAAGAATATTTAGGCCGTTTGTCACCAACGGTCGAAGAATAAAAACAAAGGATATCGAGCTCCGATTGGTAGGCTTCATCCACTCCAACACACACCTTTGCTGTACCCTTCTCGCGATAAAAATACCTCAGGCAGGAACCGCAGGAGGGGGTCCAGCCCCCCCCTCCTATGTGACCCCGGTTGGGTCGTCTAGCTGGTAGAAGTGGAGGATAGGGGCCAGGGGGGCAGACGACAGAGTCCAATGATGGGAAAAAAACAAACAACAAAAAAAACACCCATCCATGAGAGCGCAAAGAAGTTGCTTTGGGCAACCGGATTTCAAAGCAGCAACTTGGTCCCCTTGTGTGCCATGGCGGCTGCCGAAGAGGCTACGGGGGTGCGACGTCTGATGGTGTCCATCTTGGCAATCTCACAACAGCCAAGGTATGCATAGAAATGCCAACAAGTTACGAATTACAGCACATGGAGAAATGTGTAGTATTTTTGTGTAGATACAGAGGAGCCTGGCCGGTATAAGTCACGATGGGGCCATTACAATGCACACGGTAGCTCTTAACCCAGGCTACGGTAGCACGGCAGTGGTAGCGCCGGATGGGGCACCAAACCAATGGTAAAGAGTTGAGCAAATGCTCAAGAGCTGTGCAAATAATCCAGCTGTCGCAATTGCCACCCGGCAAGCTGGTCCTTGTTGATTCAGATCAACCTTGTCTTTAGTTTTATATTCCCGAAGACGTGCTGGAAGCACGGCAAGAAAGAGCCGAGCCCATCACACCCCTCCCCTCGACTCAAATGCGCGACCCACCACAGCCACGCCAGAGGTCAAGGCCCCACTCCGACACCTTCCAACTCTGTAGCACAGCCGTACGCGGTACTACCAATTCGCTGTACCATTAGACCAAATCGCGCAAGGCAGCATTCACCACTGAGCGGCACCGCTGAGGGGCAGAAAACCTACAGCATACCCGTCCCGCTCATCGTCCTCATTCTGGGCGAAGACGAAAGGCAGGAGCTGCTCTGCAGAACATGCTTCGCGTTCAAGCGCAATGAACGAGGATGACAACGTCCCCCATCTATTGCTACTGCTGCGGTTGCTGGCCCATGACTGCGGTCACTGTGCTGGAGCGGTTCAGCGTCTCGTAGGCTGGGGCGCCTTATCTCAGACGGCGGGCCTCGCGCTCCCACTCCAGGAGGCAGAGAATGTCGCCCTCGCGGACGGGGCCCTTAACGTTACGGATGATCGAACGGGTAGGGTCGTCCAAGAATTCCACGCGGACCTGCCCACAACAAACGGACCAGAGTGTCAAACAAAACAAAAACGAGCACCAAAACAACCGAGATCGGAGAGCTAGCAGATGCTTTCACATGAAGGTGAACTAGCGCCCTGCCCTTTCGCCGTAGTCCCCAAGCAAATTGCTAACCGAACTCTAACTTGCTTGGCAACACCAACCGCAGACATGGATCATTTTGCGAAGAAGTCCGGATAATCCCGAAAACGTGAGTACCAAATAGCTGGCACAATTTTTGGACCTGTCCCTGCTTCGCCGGGACAAGGCTGCACCCCGCTGCCCCTCAAACTCAAAAGAAGAAAATAAGTCAAGCGCAAGAACACAACCGGTGGATTAGCCCGTCACATCGACCACCATGTACACGATGCTACGGATGGCGCTGCTTTAGTGTCATAGCCGCGTGTGTATTAGAATTACGCAATAGAGTAATTTCCTGTGTGAGAGTAAATAGTACCCGACGGAGAACGACAAGTCATACCGAACGACAAAGGCGGCGGTCATTTACCAACGTGGATGAACGACTAGCTCTGTTAAATGGATCAGCTTCGAGTGTGTCAGGATCAAACTGACCATTGGAAAAAATGCCGCACCATCAAAAGAGCGTGCGAACGGCCGTTCGTTTCCTTTCGTTGTGGTGACCTTTTAATAGTGAATGAGTACTACCAGGTGACCCGATCTGCTTATCCTCTATTATCCGTACGAACGACGGCATCCGAACTAAACGCTTGCACTCGCTCCATTCCCTGCACCAATGAACTTGCGACAATGTTTTAGGGAGGAAAACTCTTGCGTGGATGGTTCTGTCAACAGACTCCAATGGAACCATAGCAATAAGACCGGCGCTTGGAATATCCACGCCGAGACAAGAGGAAACACGCTTGCACGCATGATTCTTAGAAAACAAAACCGTGGGGAATTCACGCGCGTCTACACGCCTGCAACGTAAGTCGATACCAAACGCACAGGGAACGAGTGGCGACTCCGCCTTCATTGGCAGAGTCTTTCCAAACACCACACCCAGAAAATGATCTCGGCGGAACGGTATTTTTTCGAAACAGTCAAGCACGGACTCACCTGGGTCACGTTACCGGTGTTACCGGTGCGGCCGAGCACCTTGTTCACCTTCGCCAGCTTGATGCCCTGGTTGTCCTGGGGAGAGAGAACATGGCGAAGGGCAAAATAAGACAAGATGGGAGGATTAAGACGAGCCAACGCCAGCACCCGATATGTATGTGGAGTGGTTCGATGACAGGAGAACGAAGTTGAAAAATTCGTCGTATTAGAAACCGAGACGGGGCCGGGACCAAAAAGCGCAGCGAGCAAGCACAGGGAGTTCGTTGTTCATTGGCCACCCTTCTCTTCGTAAGACACAAAGGACGACGTACAAGTGAGTGTGAGTGTCATCTCGTCGCTGTACCCTTTCGCAGCAAGCCTACTTGACTACTCAATAAGAGGGGAAACCGACATCCTGTTTGGCTACAAAGCTCGTTTGCCTTTATTTCAGCATAAACCAAGGCTAACGTGACGCCGTTTTCCGGTTTGTTGATCACAGCGCAATACCGGGCTGCTTCATCCTGCTTCCTCGTCGCTCCCACACGGCAAGCAAGGTAAATACATTTCACAGCACGATACTTGCCACAATAACAGCTCTGTATTGGGTTTAAGCTCGACTTTCACAACAACACTGCTGCATCGCACGAAGGGCAGCCTTTCGCGGTTCACTTTCCTTGCTGACCGGTTCGCTTAATTGCTTCTGTCGGAGGGACTGCGGCTCTCATGTACACAACAGCAGTACCAAAAACATCGCTCCCTCCTTGAGAAAAAGGTCAAGTATGCAACCAACACATACAATTGAGATGAACAGGCCGCATCGTAAAAACACGAGAGTACATCGGCCATGCCATAAATCCATACACACGACGATCGCAAAGAGCATCAGACACAGCACACCAGAGGGGCTCGCTCGCTACAGCGACTCCTTGTACATGATGTAGGCTACAACCCGAAAAAAATCACTCCATGTAAAGGACCTTCACCAGCAGAGGGAGCTCGCCAACTCCCACTGCAGCCGATTCACCGTTCAATGCTATCAACCTCAAGTCACCACAACAGCTTCAAGTGGAATACGTAGTCGCCACTACTGCTTTGCATCGCCTTGCCACGAACGCCGCGTTGCCATAGGTCCTTGAGCGCATCCCTGCCCTTCAAATCCCGCAGCGGCGAAGTTCACAGTTCACAATCAAGGAATAGCAAAGGAGAATCCCACTGCTGTGGCAATGAAACTCAAGAAGCGACCGCCAGCAAAGTAGACTCACCATGGTGTCAGCGTGTTGGTCGACAGAGGTGGGGTGTGGGCTGCCTGCCACACGCGATCGATTTCCCAGGGGGGGCCGTAAAACAGTATCGGGGTCTACGATGGGTGGCGGTGATACGAACATGGTGGTCTGTCTACGGGGCCTCCTTGCGCGGGATAACTTGCTCGCTGTGCTCGCTGCACGCAGCAGGAACACACAGCCAGCTGAAGCAGAGAGGCTGCTGGAGCGTACCTATTGTACGTATCGAAGAATGAAGACTAGCTGAGCATGATATCCGATAGCCATGGCATATTTTGATTCAGATAACGCTGCAGAACAGATGGCATCGGCTTCCGCTGCGGCGGGAGCCGGCGCAGAGACAACAAGCCGGAGAGAGTACATCATGAGCGAGCTGCAGCAAGTGCGGGAGTTGTTCCCTGCGCCCATGATACAGGCTGCTAATACGAGCTTCGTCCAGGTCGTTGTCATGTGAGTGCAGGCGTTGGCTTCATTCTACGTACGATGTATGCTGCTGTTATTTGTATGCTATATTGGTGAGCATATTTGCTGAACATCCGTCTCGATCTCTAGCTATTTAAATTACCAGTGTTGTAGGCAGTGCGTCCTCCCCTACACCCTTGCGTCCCTCCCTCCTCGGAGCTTGCGTGCCCGGTCGATAACGACAGCTTACGTTGCCGTCAATGTTGTTCTTGGTGCCGTGTGCTCTCTGTAACCATTAAACGCGGACGGAACAAGCAAAGACGTGAGATTCCACAGCACTTGAAACTTTGAAACTTGGGGTTTGTCCTGGTTCGTCCTGGTTGACAGCAGGTGCCGCCTGCAACCAACAGCAGTAGCAACGAACGGGGTACAGTAGCAGCGAAACATGTTCTCCTGTCTTCAATGAATCAAGTGGTAAAAGCTTGATCGCCCAGCTGTTCCAGGCAGCTCGACAGCTTGTGAGCGCTCGGCGATTCTGTAGTCCAACCAAGTTGAAAACGCCATACCTGAAAATACGAAGAGTTTGCTAGCAGGATGAACAAACAAGACAGCAATTGCGGCGTGCAGCCCTTTGCTGCTACAATGAAGTCGAACCCACCAACCAAGATGGGATTACCTTGCATGCATGCATCGACTTCGGTGAGCTTTCTTCGAACGGCGCCAAGCAACAGAACATTGCTTCCCACTTTTGTTACAGGCGAACTCCGTACGCCAAGATCCAAGCGCGGTTGCAGTTTCCGGACGACTACCCGGCTAGGTCGACATCCCCGATCGTGGAGCTCACAAGCGCCTCCTTGCCCCAGCCGTTCCTGAGGAAGCTCATCAAGAGCGCCGAGAAAGCCGCTCGGGGGTGCACCCCGACAGCGGCGAAGAGGGAGGCCGCAGGCGGCGTCGAGACGGGCAAGGCGGTGGCCGCTCTGAAGGTCGTCATGGACGCCGTGAACAAGAACAAGTTTCTGCCGTGCTGGAAGGAATTGAGACAGGCGGCAACGCTCGTGACCAGCCTGTGAGAGCGAATCCTGAGCTACTTGAGGGTTGTGCTGGTTTTCTAACGCAGACCAAAGGGTGTCGCATTGTAGCTCTTCTCAACGGTCCGTGCTTTTGCCGATTGTTGGGTATGAACAGAAGTGGCGGCAAGACACATGCTAGAATTTCGCGTATCTGATGTACTGTTTCCTGTTCAGTTACTGCACACAAGGTTGTGAAACCCCTTCTCGCCAATCACTGAAGCCTTGCGAATACCCGGTGCACTCCTCGTCGGCACGGCGGCGACGGCGGCTGCAGAGGAGGGGGCTTTATCGCAGACGAGGCATCAGGCTTGGTGACGATCCGGGTAAAGTCTGGGCGATACACCGTAGTGGCGTTGATACAAGTGCCGGACGGGTACCCGATGGAGGGCTGCGGCGTGGAGTTAAAGTCGCACAACTTTCCGGCGCATATAGCGCGTCGGCACCTCGTGCAGGTGATGATTGTATCCACGGTGGTGTGTTGGATGTTGGTGGTGGCTCTAATATCGTTGATCGCACGAGGAGGGTGAGTTGTGTAGTTTTCTTCGCATCGTGTATCCTGGCGCAACCCCTACATTGCAGACGGAAAATCAGGATCCAGGCTTTTACCAGTGACCAAGAGTATTAGGGTTGGTTGGTCCAGATAAATTTGGTGATGGGAAAAGTTGAATCTGTTCGACCGCTGTGCGGCGTCGTCTGAAACATGGCAATGCAGTGTCGCTTTTTGCCGCCGTGTGGCGACAGCGGTGGCGTTCAACCACACCTAGCAAATGGACACCCCCACGGTTGACCAGCTTCTCTTCACTTTTTTTTCCCTCAGGGCGAGGAAATCGTCCGACGTTGCCTTTGCGGGTACAGCCCGGAACTAGCGCTCCAGACGAGCAACCCCATCAAGATTCCCCCGGGGAGAGGCGGGAAGCCCGCGGGGTCGGGAAACGTCCGCATCACCAGCGAGCACGTGCGGAACCTGAAGCACGACGTGGAATTCATCAAGAAGGCGCACGATCTGCGCGACGTGGGCGAGGGCAAGAGCAAGCCTAACGCAAAGGTTGCACCGCCGAGGTACACATGGCTACACACCATGGTAGGGTTACGCGCCCACGACTTTCGGAGTTTGGGTGTTCAGTCGTAAAAAGGCACTTAACTAGTAGGTGTAGATGCCCAGGGTGATAATTTTTTTACGCATCTTGTCGAAAAGTAGCGTCGCTCGCTCGCGCTTGGGTGCACTTCAATTGCCCTAAGGCATGTATGGCTGGCATGTGAGAGCGCCGTACGACGGACCAGTTTCGATTTCGCTCGCCCGCTCGAGAATGCAGCACGCAGGAGAGACGGGCGGCGCGGAGAGAGCTCAAGACCCTCGCCAAGACGGAAGCCGTGAGCGAAGAGGAGCAGGCCAAGAAACTGGCCGAGCTAGAGATCAAGGAGCAAGATGAACTCCTGCACTCCCAGCTGAGTGATACCTCGCAGGTGGATAACGCGAAATATACCGAGAGAATCAAACTTCTCTGTACGTTGCACGCAAGTACCGGTACCCAGTGTCAGCTTGTGCTACTTCCGACACCCACCCCCGCGCTCGGTACATCGTTGTCCCGCGTGTTTGCGGTGCAGCGGGAGCAGTGGGCTCAAGTTGTGCTTGGTTGCTCTGGGTCGGTTGTGCTTCACCCGAGCGCACAAATAGTGAAGGTTGAGGCGAAGCTGGTGGTGCTGGTTGAGGCGAGGCAGGCGAACCTCCCGGCAGCTAGCGAAGAGAGTCGTGTCTAACGGAGGGACGGGGAGGCCTTTCGGTCACGATGGACCTCATTTTTTTATTGCGCCCACCATTAAGTGCCGAACGACCCTCCACTATCTTGCCTGGTTTTCCACCCAGCCATCGCTGCTGCCGCTGGTCGATTTCCTGGTGAACGTGTTTGGATGGAGACTTCCCCAGGAGACGTGTGTCGCGTGCGACAAAAGAGTCATGCCGGAAGACCCTCGTCACCCATCCCTCAGAGACCCTGCACATAAGGAGAGACCCACCAGGCGAGCTTCATGATGCTGCGGTGGTAGCTTGTGACACGATCCCAAACGTGTCCCCAGAGTGCAATGTTCTCAATGTTATATATTGCTTCTACCGCTAGATGCTGTATTTACTTGGCACGGATCAAGCGCTTGGTTTTTGCGATTCGATTGAGGTTGCTTAGACCTTGTCTGGATCTTCTTTGTTTTTCCGCCCGAACTGTATTTGAGGTTACATTTTCTCGACGGCGACAGATGTTCATGGTGGATCTCGAAAAGCCTCTCGTACTTACGCTGATACTGTCGTGTTACCAGCGTTTCGCCGTGTTGCTTGGAGCTCTGATCTTTCGACTGACCGTGCCTCATACAATCTGTCGGCATGCTTTCGTGTTACGCTTTGTTTATTCAGGGTGTTCTGCGGGCATTGGTTCCACTACGACTGCCTCCGCGTGTGGATGACCGAGCCACCGTTCGCGAAGGTGTGGCACGAAGGAAGGGAAAGGTTTGACTGCTGTCCATGAGCTCGACTTTCTTCATCAACAAAGACGTGACACACTGCTGATGTGTTTTTTCTCGTGGTGTCCTGGTTTTACACGACATTCTCTCGTGTAGGTGGGATATTCTCGTCCGTCCCCAGTCCACCTCAAGGAATTTCATCTCTCGAACGCGCTGATTGAAAGGTGGAGAGAAAGGCGGGAGTGATGCTCCTCGTCTCGTAGGAAGGATTGCGCCACCAAAAAGTAAATGTTCCACAACGAAAGAGCGAAACAACCGTAGTTCCTTGACTACTGTAACGTACTTCGTATCTAGTTTATTTAATATAGTTTTCCATCCCTTCCTGCACGACAGGACTGCCCTCGGTGTGGGCACCGCGTTTACCACCCGGACTGGCCGCAGGAACCGAAGCAGCTGGAGAAGGCATGGGCGAACAGGCAGGCGAAGCGAAGGGAGGTCGGAGAAGTGCGAGACTTCTTCACGGTGGATGCGAGGTTCCAGACCGGGGCGGGGCAGGGGGACGACTTCGATGCCTTCAGCTAGTTTTTTTGCGACAATAAATATGCGTGTCTGTGTCGGTGGGACTCGTGACGCACGAAACAAGTTACCTTGTGGCACGGAAGCCTTACCACTCTGTAGTGTTAGTTGTGTACTGCCCTTTGTTGATCAAAACAAGTAGGTCGGCGGGTAAGAGAGCCCGCTCCGTCAACGGGAAATCTTCTTGTTGTTTACGTCCGGATAGGGGAGTAAGCTAGCGGACAAACACAGGATGGGAATACGAATATGCATGGATCAATAGAGTGGTGGGTGATGGTGATAGATTGCCGTGTGCCACGGCTGCTTCCCCAATTGAACTTGAATATAAAACTTCTCGACGAGAGGCGAGCCGCGCAAGACTCCGTGCTCGATGTCGGGATATCGGGATGGTCACGCGCAGTTGCCGCCAATAGATAACCGCTTGGGATGTCGTGGGCTAGTCACAGGCACTTCGTGCTCCAGAAACCTTTCTTGCCCTCTGATGGTCAGGGCTGCTTCCAATCCTCCACCTTTTAGTGGTAATTGTTGTCGCCGTCGGTACGTTTCACGACGGTGTCACGAACGCTTGTGATGGACCGACCCATCTACCGAAGAACAGGACAAAGTACATACATCCAGCAATAGGAGGATCGGACCCATCTTTGCACGAACGAAAAACGTTCGGTCGTGTGTGCGCGAGGCGTGCGGGAAGAGGCTGGTAGGAATAGCACTAGCGCCGGCCGACGTCCTCGTAGCGTTTTGGGGCAGGACCCAGCTTTTGTGATGAAAGACCTCAGGTTACCGTTTTTGTTGAATCAGGGTACGCATACATAGACACACCAGGGAGGTGGATGAACGCTCGCGAAAGACCGTGGTTTGTACTTTGCGGTGTACGATATTTCCCGCGGGAAGTGAAGCTAAACTCGCTACGGTCTGCAACCATGAGCGATGGCACGAACACCTTCCTTCCCGACACTCCCGTACATGAGAAACTTGCACTCACGATGCACGCACCATGCGGCGCATATACCTACCGCGCGCACGGGGTCCCGAACTTGAATTGCCACCATACTTATATATATTACTTTCCACGCGCGCACTTTTTGGACTCTTCACAAGAAGGTAAGATAATCGAAGGACCAATCTCGTCGCTTTATCAGATGTTGGACGTTTCTACTGCAGAGCAACATCGCACTTATTCTGCGTACCTCGAACCGTGCTGCCAACCCCCCTCGCCCCCCCGTTCCTGCCCGACCCTTCACAAGTCTGTTTCATGCAGGGCAAGCAAGCAAAATCACGACAAAAACATCGACCTGCGACGCACCTCTTTTCGCCATTTTCTCTCGCAGTAGTGTACGTGATATACAAACAGGCTACATGCAACGCGCGCCTCGACCAACCACAACCGGAAACTAACACTTGTACACATGACACGATAAAAGTTGTACATTTTCTGTTCCAAATACATGTAAATACGACGGCCATAACAATACTGTGGAGAAGCATCTCAGCCTCCATCTTCGTGCGCGAATGTCAATATACACCCCACCATTCAACACGCCACCATCAACATATTGCTGCTTTGCATTACCTAAGAAGACGCATGGAAACAACCTCCGCAGTTGAAACGATCGCGAAGACACAAAATCATGAAAGAGGCACCGGTCGGTCCTCGACCACCGAGCCCACATCTTCAAATTCGCGAACGCGCTCTAGCTAGCCACCCGACACGAAAGACCCAAAATACACCCTCACTTTTGGCGTGCATGAAGGGGGGGGGGGGGGGGTTCG